GAGTTTCTTCAATTCAAAGTGCAATACCCAGTCTTTATAAGCCGATAATTTTATCCCCCTATGCTGATTAAGAGTACATGATACTTTTTAATGTTATTTCTTGGTTTTTCAATCTTACATTCTGGTAAATTGTATTACTCTATTCCCCCCCCGCTTGCGAAATTTATCAATGCCCAATGCCAGCATTCGTCACTCCCTTCCCTCACTGGGCAGGACTTGCTCTTTCTTGGACTTCCATGGTCATCGAAAAGTGGGCAATGGCCTCCTGGAGAAACATTTACAAGTGTTCCTTAGTGCCGAAGATCTTATACCCCGCCACTTCGTCAAAGACATATATCACGGCTTGAGTTTTCCACCTCAATACCAACGCTGTTTTCAATCTGTTAACATTCTGTAACGTTTTTCGTCCGGAAGGATTATCGGATATAACCTTAGTAAGTATAAGGATTTAATAAAAAAGAAAAAAACTTTAGGGACCTACTTAAAAATCCTGTAGAATTTTAAGGACCAGCGGATTACTTTTCCCTAATAATAACAACTCTCAACTGTCATTTTCTAAATTTATATTACTGCTAGAGGGCTCAGATAATCTAATTCCCATTTGCTCTAATGCAGACATGATTTTGCTATAATTTTGTTTAATCTCTTGATGCTCTTGTTTAATTTGTTGATTCTCTTGTATGAGCTCTGTTATCCTTGTGCGTAGTTCAGTTTCAACATTAATATTGATGCTTGTGCTGTTGATGGAAGGAGAAAATCTTTGAGGTGTGCAAATATCATCAACAGCCTCAGATCCAAATCCATAGATGTAACCCTTCTTGTTCCTACCACCTGTTACCTCTAACCATATGTTAAATTCTTCCTGGTTAGATTGCACACTTGGAGAGCCTCTTTCAGAACTTAATTCTGCCTTTCTCCTCATGAATTCATTCTATTAAACAAAAAATAATAGTACATAGGATAAAAGTATGTTTTATATAAGAATTCATGATCATGACATAATAAAAATTTAGTAGTAATGTCAAGCAAAACCATAAACACAAAAATAAAAATATCCCACTCTTGTATGATTTGAAAAAAAAATTGAATTTGATGCTATAAAATATGTTGAATTTAAAATTGTAAATTTTTCTTTTACCAAATTGTTGTAGCAAAAAATGAATGCCTTGTATGCTTTTTTTTTTTGGAAGGCAAGATCCTGCCTTCCAAAATAAGTCCACAATAACCAACACGAGTTAGGTCTAAAAGAAATATGAGAGTTTTTTAAGGAAAACCAATTTATAGAAATAAAATTACACCAAAAATAAGAAAGGATAACATTATTCACTAATTCCCAGCAGATGATAACATATTCACCAATTCTATCAAATTAAACAATATGCAAATCTAACTCAAGTTCAACAACAAAGCAAAGTAGATTGGAGAATAGCATGATACAAGTTCTATAACTTCCGACAAGTCAGAAGCAATAAATTGTTGCCTAACACTAGTGTGGCTTTAGATAGTCAACACAATCCAAATGATTTAATATGGCTAATATTCAATAAGACTCACACTACAACTAGTCAAGTCTCGAGCCGTCAGCACAATTTCAGTGATTCAATATGACAAACATTAGAAGCATATACTCACATGAGCTATTTCCGCTCGTTGGTCTGCAAATTTTCCAGTTTTACCATTTAAATGCGTCCTCTTGAACAATTCAAGCAATAAAGGGTCTCTTCCTAACTCCAGAGCCTGCAATTATTTACAAGAATGTATTATAAATAAATGCATTTAATAAATAATGATCTAATTTGAAGATAAATTCTTACCAGCCTCCTCTTATGCTCAGTATTAGGAATGCTCCCACCTTTATGTTGAGCGCCTCCTATGATTGAGGCTCTATTGACTTTAGCAATCTCACACTTCACCTTGTAATCTTCTGATGCCCATGTTTTCTCTAATTCATTCATCACTGGACGTGGAATCCACTTAGCCTTGATTTGTTTTTGATACAAGTCTTGCTTGATAGTATGCGTTGTATTTCTTAAAATTTTTGCACACTTTGTATTCCAGATTTTCTTAATAACATCATCATATTGTAGTAACCATTTGCATTTTCGCTGCATAAATGAGAAACAAAAGAAAAATATAAACTAAACATGATGAGAGGAAAAATTGAAGACATAAAACAAATATAATTTATATTTGTTGCCTGTGTTACGTTAAATTGTTTCTATTTTCTTTCATTTATTAACTATTTAAGAATGAAACTACTAATAAATTATGAATAGCATTAAATTTCATTGGCTGTTTTCAAGAGAAACACATCCGTTAACACGCGATGTTTCAAAACCACACACATATATAAATTATATCAGGCTTCCTTATTTCCTAACTCAAATCCACTTCCGTTGCTTCAATCTTCCTTCTTCTAGAATGGATCATCAAGGTAACAATAAGTCTCTCAAAATACATGAATCCTGCAAGATTGGTCCACCATGTGAAACAGAACTATCTGAGCCTCTCACATTCTTTGATATATTATGGTTCAAATTGCATCCTTCAGAACGCATTTACTTTTACTCACTTCCTCACACGCACTCAAACCACAGCCACAGTGCTAATTCCTTCTTCTTTGAAACTTCAACTCCAAAACTGAAACGATCTCTTTCACTCACACTCGATTGCTTCCTTCCTTTGGCTGGTAAAGTTTTTTGGCTTTCTGATTCTCAAAAACCCTTCCTTCTTTACTCTCCTGGCGATGGAGCCCCCCTTGTTATCCCAGAGACTAATACAGACTTCAATCAACTCTCAGGTAGGTAGGTATATGGTATTGTATATAATCACTACAAAAAAATTGACTTTTAGCAGCGACAAAAAGTCACCGTTGAAAGTTTTTAGTGGCGACTTGTTGCTGTTGAAAAACTGTAACCGTAGCAACCGAGACTGAAAGCTTTCAGCGGTGACAAAAAAGATCACCACTGAAAGACACTTTCAGCAGTGACAAAAAAGATCACCACTGAAAGACACTTTCAGCGGCAACGTTTGTTACCACTGAAAGATACTTTCGGTAGCGACCTTCTTATTGGCACTAAAAGAACTTTCAGTGGAGACAATTTGTCACCGGCAAAAGTGACTTTCAGTGGTGACTTTTTTGTCGTCATTGAAAGTGATGCCCAAGAAAAATTGGCATTATTGACACGACGTCATCGTTGCCGGCCGCCATGTCATCACTGGCCACCTCCACCTCGTCGTCGACAACCTCCACATCGTTGCCACGTCACTCCTTCCTGCCATGTCACCGCCCAAATATTTTCACTTTAAATGTGTCTTCTTCAAGTTTCAAACTCGTGACCACCTCCTTTCATGTCCAATCTTATTGCCGTTGAGCTGGATTGAATTTGGTTATTACTATTGTAAAATACCATATATATTATTATATTATACTTTCAACGGTGACATTAGAAAGACACCGCTGAAAGTCAGACCACTCATAGTCGCCGCTGAAAGTGAACCCTTCAGTGATGACACCACCACTGAAGGTGTTATATTCAGCAGCGACAGAAAAAGTCACCCCAGAAAGTCTCACTTTTAACAGCAACTTTTTAGTGTCACTGCTAAAATTCCACTTTCAATGGTGACTTTTTTTGTCGCCACTGAAAGTCGTCACCTAAAGTCTTTTTTTTTTTGGGTAGTGAGTGTTTCAATGAATTTGGATTGAACTGTCATTAAAATAACTTATATATGATGCCTTTTTTATTAGATCGATTTTGTGACATGATCCAAGAAAACTTCTGTATTTGACACCCTTTTTGTACTTTTTATGAACAAAAGTTGTTGTTTTAAAGCTCCCGTTTGGTTTGAGAAATATAAAGGGAAGGAGAAGGAAGGAAAAATTTTAATAAGCTCAAATTTAAAAAATTGAAGAAGTAGGGTTAAAAATTTTTTATTAAATTTTATTGTTCTTTTATTTTACATCTTCTCCTTATTGAAATTTTAAAACCGGACTTCTTCAATTTATTAAATTGAGCTCATTAAAATTTTTCCTCCTCTCCCATTTTCTCCATTTCCCTTCTACCAAACATAGAGTAAGAGTTAAGGTACAAAATTGTTTTGAGAGTTTTCACTCATGAGTACTAGATACCTAAAGTTTTTTGTGCGTGCAAGTTTGTCTCAAAAGTTTAAAATCCTTGCAATGTTACCCCTTACTATTAAAATTGTCCATGTTCAATGTCACTATTATAACGGTCGACATTAATCTTTTAATGGCTGGATGTAACATTGTTATGATTTTAAACTTCTAAAGCAAATTTGTACCCAAAAAAAAAAAGACCAAATACCCAGCGCTTTAAGTGAAAAGTTTCATAACAAATTTATATCTTAATCCTTGATTTAATCTATCAACCCTAGAGAGAAGTATATATTCTTCTAAAAAATAATTAATCTTTTTTTCTTGGTTATATATAAGAATTATGAATCTTGATTCTCATTGTTTAGTCTTTTTGCACTCTCTATTACTGACGCATATGTATGTTGCTTGGCTAAATTAATCTTATGTCTATGAAATTGATATATGCTAAACTGATCACAAAGATGCAAAATTAAAAAAAAAAACTCATATCTAAATCTACTTTATCAATCCATTCATTTAATTGATTAAAATTTTCAATTTTTGTCTTATTTTGCTTATTTTCCATGTTTAATTTTGTTTCTCCTCAACTGAGTAAGGTTTATGAAATATCAAATCAAATTTTATTTCTATAACAAAAAAAATTAAATTTTATTTCAATAAAAAAAATTTTATCTGTTTTTAATAAGTCTATTTAAATAAAGCCCTAATCTCATAGGCAATGGCGCTCGAGAAGCCAGTGAGTTTTGTCCCTTGGTACCTTCCTTGGACACAACTGATTCATTTGCTTCAGTCATATCTCTACAAGTTACTCTCTTTCCTAACGTTGGCTCTTGCACAGGCTTAAGCAGACACCAACGCTGTTCTTGATGGCAAATCAACCACCATGTTCATGAAGGCCTGGGCTTATCTCTGTCAAACCACTCAAGAATTGCCATGTTTGTTACCTAAAGGACTAGACCCATTCCTGGACCAAACCGTTGTCAAAGATCCTAATCGACTCGATCTCATGTACTTAAAGGGATGGAAATTTATGTCAGAAGCTATTGGATCCCATGAACGAAGCCTCAAGCTTTTGCTAAACACTACTTCACCTCAATGTCTTGATTCATTGGCTCTAGCCACTTTTGAACTAAGCCCTCAAGATTTACAGAAACTGAAACAAAGGGTTCTTTCATTGTGGAACGAAGTTCATCAAGAAGAAGAACCTGTGAATCTTTCAACTTTCATTCTTGCTTCTGCATTTGTATTTACCTGCACTGCAAAAGCAATAACAGGAAAAGGAAATGATGAAGGATTAAGCAAGGACAATAATAACAGTACCGATATTTCCTTTGGATTTTCTGCAGATTGTGGTCACACTTGAACTCGGAAGTGGATCCAAATTATCTTGGTAATTGTGTTTCCTTGTATGATCAACATAGTAACAGAAGAGATTGTTAATTTTTAGTGAAAGAAGGAAAATAGAAGATAAAAGACATAACGGTAATAAAGAAAGAGAGAGACATAATTAAGAGATGACTTTGTATCATTTCATGTTTTGAACAGTGCCACTATAGGGGTATGTATACAGAAAGCTATTCTAGAATATTCCTAGAGCCAGCTGTACACAAACATGTGCTGTGAGTTACAATTTCAATTTTCACGTGTGGTGCCGTGTTTGGGCTTCAGACGTGTATATCTTGGGCTGTTGTATAGTGATAGATGTAATTGGGCTTGTTTGCATTCTAACATCTCCCCGTGAGTCATATGGCATTGGTGTGACATTAAGACTCAACCAGAGCTACATGAATCTATGTGTAAAAAGAGGCTTGGTGAGAATATTAGTAATTTGATCTTTGGAAGAGACAAGGGCAATGTGAAGTTTTCTGGCTGCCACTCTTTCTCAAACAAAATGGTAGTCTAGTGATATGTGCTTTGCACGAGAATGAAAAATAGGGTTAGCAGCAAGGTAGGTGGCTCTTAAGTTGTCATAATAAAGCATTGGAGTCTGAGAGAGAGATGTTTAACTCGTCAAGTAGATTTTGAACACACATAAGTTCACTGGTTGAGTTAGCAAGGGATTGGTACTCTGCCTTAGTACTAGATTAGGAAACAGTTGGTTGTTTGTTTCTTTGAACTCTAAGATATAACATTAGGACCAAAATAGACAACAAAACCAGCAATGGAACATGAATCTACAGGGTAGCCACCCCAATTTGCATTAGAGTAGGCTTTAAGGATAGGTGGAGGTTCAGAAACAGCAACAGAGAACAAGGAGAAATTGGAGGATCATTTGAAAAGCAACCCATAATGAGTAGTAGCACACAAGTAACAAAGGATTCGTTTGACTGTTGTCCAATATTGTTCAATGGGCTGGTGCATAAATTGACACACATGATATACAGCATAGGAGACGTTTGGATGAGTGAAAGATAAATATCGGAGAGTGCCTATGATGCTACAATAAAGGTAGGATCAGAAAAGGAAGAACCAGTAGTATGTAGTTTTGCATTGACAGCCATCAGAGATGCCATAGAATGAGCATTAGCCATGTTAGCACGTTTTAACAAATCAATAATGTATTTGTGCTGAGACAGAATAAGACCAGCAGATACTCTATGTACTTTGACTCTAAGAAAATAATGTAAAGGCCCCAAGTCTTAAACAGGAAAGGTAGAACTGAGATTTGCAATTAGAGCAGTAATAGCATCATCAGAAGAGCCAATTAAGATAATATCATCCACATAGATGAGTACATACAACTGATAGGAAGGAAAGTGAAAAGTAAATAAAGAAGCATTAGATTTGGAACCTGTGAACCCAAGTTGAGTAAGGTGTGTGCTGAGACAAGATAACTAGGCTTGAGGAGCCTATTTTAGGCCATAAAGGGATCAGTGAAGTTTACAGATAAAGTAGGGGTAGTTAGGATGAACAAAATCCGAAGGTTGAGATATGTAGACGTTTTTAGTGAGGGAACCATGGAGAAATGTATTCTGGACGTCAATTTGCTAAAGGGACCATCCTTATGAAACAGCTAGCAAGATGATGAGGCAGATGGTGATAGGTTTGACAACAGGGGAGAACATTTTAGAAAAAACAAGACCAGCTTGTTGATGAAAGCCCTTAGCAACAAGGCAAGCTTTGAAGTAATCAATCACACCAGATGGTTAGTATTTGATGTGAAAGATCTATTTAGACCCGATGGGATTTTGAGAAGAAACAAGAGGGACCAAGGACCATGTTATAGTGTCGAGGAGTGCCTGCAATTCTTCAGCTACAGCCTAACGCCAAGTGGGTGTTTAATAGCTTTAGTGATAAAGATGGGTACAATGTCAGGAGTGGTAATGGCAGAGAGAACTTGATGTGGGGGCCATAGGATAGTACCATCAGAGAAGAGTTTTGGTTTTGAGATGTGTGCATGAGATCTGGTGACCATTGGATGGAGAGGGGGTGCACGGATTTGAGTTGCAGTAGGCGGAGGTGAGGAAGAGCTGGAGAAAGAAGATGACTGAGGAGAGGGAGAGGACGGTGAGGTGTGCGGCGTAGTCACGTGAAGGGGAAAGGGGTATGGCAGATGGGGTTGGATTAGAAGGAAGTGAGCTTGGAGAAAGAAAAGGTAGTGTGGTGGTAGGATTGGGCTCGGTGGTATTTAGAGTTAAGTAATGATAAGGAAAATGGGTTTCGTCAAAGAGGACATCATGTGATAGGCAAATTCGGCCTGATTTAGGGTGTAAGTAGATGTAGCCCATGTGATTTGCACTATAGCTGAGGAAGACACAAAGAGTAGATCTTGGTTCCAATTTATTTTTAGTGTAGGGACACAGGTTGGGCCAGTAGGCAGAGCCGAAAACCTTAAGAATTTGGTAATTGGGCTTGTGATGAAAGAGCTTTTGGAATGGACTTAGATTGTTAAGTGTGTGACTAGGAAGTCTGTTAAGAAGGTACGTGGCCATGTAGAAGGCGTAAGACCAGAATGTGCATGGGAGGTTAGTATGGGAGAGAAGAGAAAGACCTGTTTCAACAATTGTTCTGTGATGTCTCTCAATTGTGCCATTTTGTGTATGAGTATGAGGACAAGTTATCTAATGATGAATACCAAGAGAAGAGAAAAGTTTCTTAAGAAGGCAAAATTCACCACCCCAATCAAATTGGAAACTCTTGATTTTTCTATTAAGCAAGTTTTCTACAAGAGTTTTAAAAGACAAAAAGGTAGGAACAACTTCATCCTTAGTTTGAATGGGGAAAAACCACATAAAATGAGTATGATCATCAACAAAACAGACATAATAACGGTAACCATTAACAGACATAACAGGGAAGGGACCCTAAACATCACACAAAACAAGATCTAGTGGAGTAGATGATCAGTGTGGAGACAATGGTGAAGGTAGATGATGACTTTTGGAGACTCTGCTCGTTGAACACTGAGAGGGAACCGAAGTGGTTGAAATAGGTAAAGAGTTGGAAGAGACAATATACTGAACTGTGCAAAAGGCAGGATGACCCAAACGATCATACCATTGACTGAGAAAGGCACAGATACCAAGACATGCAACAATAGACGAAGGCTATCATAATCCACATAGAGGGTAAAGATTGTTATGACTGGGACCTTAGAGCAGTGTTTGACAAGTTTTGACATCCTTTACAATGAAACAATGAACATGAAATTCAAAGAAAACATTATTATCAACACAAAACTGAGAAATGGATAAGAGATTTTGAGAAATATTAGGAACATGAAGAAGTTGGGTAAGAAGGTATTTGCCATTTTGTGCGCTGAGGTGTCCAGTACCTGTCTTTTGTATAGGGAGTGGAGCTTCACTACCAACTTGCATAGATTCTTGACCATGGTATGGAATGGAGTGGATATTCAGATTTGAGAGGTCTGTAGTCATGTGATTTGTAGCTCCTGTATCAAGATACCAAAGTGTATTTTCCATAGCAGAAGGGAATATAGAGTAATTTGCAGAATAAGAATTGGTGGGAGGAGGCTGAAAGTTATGATCATAGCAACAAGGGCAAACAACCACTATGTGACCATGTTCATGGCACATTTGACAAATGTTAGTTATGGTGGTAGAGAAGAAAGAGGGTGTTGTATGACCACCATACTATCCATAAAAGTTTCTGCCACCTCTATAACCATGACCTTTGCTGTTGAAAGCAAATTGTCCTCCACGACCTCTATAGAAAGAGAAGCCACGTCCTTCTTGCTATGTAGGTGTGGGTAAGAGACCATGTAAAACTTTTACAGCGTTGGAAGTAATGTGAGGGACTTGAGTGCTAATATTTTGATTTTATCGAGCTTCACAGGAGAGAAGATGACTGAGGATCTCTTCAGAGGAAAGGACAGCTCGCCTTGTAGTAAGAGAGATAGCTATGGAATCATAGTTACAGCGAAGTCCACCAAGGAGATAAATGGGAAAAGCAACATTAGAAACTGGGTTTCTTGTAGCTGCTAGAGAATCAGCAAGAAGAATTGCATGTTGATGATATTCAGAAATGGACTCACCACCTTTCTTTAAATGAGTGAATTGTTGGTGGAGCTGAAGATATTTAGCTTGAGATTGTTGAGAGAACATGGTTTCCAGAGCTGTCCACATAGCTCTAGATGTCTTGTGTCTCATGACTTGAGCAATAAGCTTTTTTGATAGAGATGAAATGAGAAGAGATAGCACCAGTTGATCCTGCTTGAACCATTTGATATAGGCTAGATTGGGAGTGCCATCGGAGAATTTGGTTGGAGGTTGTGGATTGGAACCATCAATGTAACAGAAGTAACATTAGCCATAAAGATATGGTAACATTTGTGCCTTCCATATAAGATAATTGTCTTGGTTTAGTTTGACAGTGATGAAATGAGAGACATTGGGAGGGTTGGAGAGAGTGGTTTGGGAAGTGACAAGTCAGAAGTACCAGAGGAGGAAGAGACCAGGCTTTTTGTGGGATCTGTCACGACGGCATTGCCTACTACTCTGATACCATTTTAGTGGAAGAAGGAAAATAGAAGATAAAAGACATAACGGTAATAAATAAAGAGAGAGACATAATTCAGAAATGACTTTGTATCATTTCATGCTTTGAACAGTGCTACTACAGGGTATATATACAGAAAACTATTCTAGAATATTCCTAGAGCCAGTTGTACACAAACATGTGCTGTGAGTTACAATTTCAATTTTCACGTATGGTGCTGTGTTTGGGCTTTAGGCATGTGTATCTTGGGCTGCTGTTTAGTGATAGATGTAATTGGGCTTGTTTGTGTTCTAACAAAGGAAGAAGGAATAGTTATAATGGCAAAGAAAATCCAGAGTGAGATACGAAGGTTCTCGGAGAAAGGAGTGCTTAATGAAGCTGAGGCTTTGAGTGGTAAGTGGAAATCCATGGCGACTAGAGGAACAAGAGGGATAGGAATTGGTGGGTTTACTCGTTTTCGGGTTTATAAGACTGATTTTGGTTGGGGAAGACCAGTGAAAGTGGAGATAGCAACAGTGGATATGAATGGCTTGATCACAATGGCAGAAGGAAGAGAAGGAAATGGTGGGGTTGAACTTGGTTTGCTTCCTTATAAGAACGAGTTGGATTTATTTGCTTCTTCATTTCGTGATGCCATACAAGGTCTTCATTGGTTTTAATTACAAGAAAAATGATCACGGTTAATGACGTGCCAATATAGAAAAAAATTAGTGTGATTTAAGGTTTCTGCTGATGAAATGTAATAAATATGTTAAAATTTCTTTTAACTGTTTTCATTAAATAATGTAGTTTGCTTTCTTTAATTAGGAATTGTGCTCAATCAAAAATGAAGGTATAGTTGAAATTGAAAAGACAGCAAGTAATGTTGTCTCAAACTTATATAATGACAGATAAATATAATAAAAATTTCCCTTGAATGTAAAAATTAAAAAAATAGAGGAATTAGTGTCTAGATGTTTCTTTAAGCATTTGTAAAGCCCGTTTTTCTTTTTATATTGTACCTGTGTATGGATGTCAGCTTCTTATGTATTTTGGAGTTGCTATTGTACAGCGAAAGTCTAGAATAGTAAGCAATCAATAGAATACTTATTTTTACCCTAAAATTTTTGTCTATATGTGACTATGAAATAATCCAAGAGCCACTTTTTTTTGTTGGGGCCAAAAATCTAAGAGCCACTGACTCGTAAAAAACACATCGTTTGATCACTATTTTATCTTCTCTCGAAATTAGCAATGATTATTGAAATAGTCATGTATTAAAAGAGGAGTCTTCAGTCGCATTAACAGCCAGCGGATTGTTTAATAACGATTTCAAAATATGAAATTATTTAAGGGGAAAGCCCACTTGATCTTGTCTGACAGTAATGATGACATCAATCGGACAATTGGAGTAGCATAATGATGATGATGAGGAAAAATTGCAACAAGGTTCCAGCTAGCATAAATAAATACAAAAAAAAAGTTTTTTAAAATCATCAAATTATTCTGAAATCTCAAAAAATCTCGTCACAAAAGATTTTATTTGTTTAATTATCACATTGCCATTGTCTTTTTTTTTTTTAAATACGCATTAACAATTAAAAGTACAGTTGTTAATAATTTGAAGTATAAGAATTAACAACTATCACAATAGCTATTGACAATTCATGCATTATATTTTTGTGATGTGTTGAGAAAATATGTTATTAATACCTGCTGCGATAGTTGTCAATCATTACATCTTAATTTGTTCATGACTGCTTTTTTAGTTGTCACTGTATACTTAAAAAAAATAAGGGCAATTTAGTAATTAAAAAAATAAAATCTCTTTGTAAAGAGGTCCCTTATTTTAAGAGACTTATTTAATTTTTTTGAGTGAAAAGTTATTGCAATTTTTCCTAATAAAAATAAAGGGACGGAGATTTGGTTGGGTGATGGGGATTTTTCATTCATCTTTTTTTTTTAATATAAACTGTATTCAACAAATTAAAGTTAAGACATTACCCAGACGCTGGTCCAAAAAAAAAAAACATTACCCAGACAAAGTCAAGACATTACAACAGTCATTCATCGTTTTTATACAAAATATAAAATATTTTATTTGATTATGCATAATTATGTTGCATATATAAAATGTTGGTAGAGATTTGAGGGAAGTGGGAACATATAAATTATTATGAATATAAATTACTGTCTCCTATATTGAATACGACTAGTTAAGGAGTTTGTTGGGACTCTATGAAATGTCATAAATGATGGTATCTTAGTAATACAACTCACACTTTTATTCGAGTCTCATTTGCTAACACTCTACATTATGAGTTTTATATATTTTTCTATTGCTAGTTTTTATTTTGTTGGTTGTTGTTTTGTCTATTTTTCTCATGTTTCAAATGTTTTTACGTTGGCTTTTTTCTTTGGTTCATTTAGGTTTTGCTTAAATTGATAAAATGTAACCGGCCGATCTTTTTTATATAATTATTTTACTTATGTTCAATAAAATTGTCTTTTTATAAAACAAGTTCGTTTTAATCTTAAATATATGTTTTTAATCTATTTTGTTTCTCAATTTTTTTAAAATATTTCTATTAATTACATATAATAAGAAATTTTCATGAAAGATTAGTTACAATGCACACTGGGTATTCTAAAAAAATCAATATACGTTTATTATAAATAAATAATCTAACTAATTTTTTAATATTGATAAATTAATTATCCACCTTTTATATTGGGAATTGAAGGGGTTATAATATTGTCAAATTCAAAATTCACTGGAAATGGGTTTCTTACATTTAAAAACATTGCATAATGTGAAAGGAAACTGCCCTTACCACCACTTACTTGAAAATAAGAGACATGGTTTATAGGAGAGGAAAAGGAAATGGATTTTTTTTTTTTGGCATTACAAGCTATGACCTGGAGGCAGATTCTAGTGCCACACAAGGCACATTCAATGCCAGAAAGCCAAGAGGCATCAGATAAGAAATGGATTCATTATTGTTATTTTTTTTTATTTATAAAACATCAAATTTATCCAAACACAGATAAAAAGATTAAATAAAAAGCCGACCTATTACATTCAGTTAATTTGAGTAAAACCTAAATTAACTAAACGAAAAGGCTTGTCTAATACGAGTGAAATAAGAAAGCAGAACAAACTAGCAATAAAGAAAAACTAAAAAAAAAAAAATAATATAACAAGAGTAGAAAAGAAACAAGCAATGCCACAGAAATTAAAGTAGGCTCGAATATTTTGTAGTTCATAATTCTTGCCAGTAGATCTAGGACAGCCGAAAGTCCAAGACTTTCATTGCGTTAACTATTTTTCTTCCACGCATGGACACTTAGCAATACGCACATATTGCCTTGAAGTTGCATCATACGAAGGAACTTGCATTAATTGCTTCCAATGTCTTACGATGATGCGCCTTTTTTGGGAGTTGAAAGGAGCGCTGGTACAAATCACCGGAGAAATACAACTGCAGCAAGATAAACATGAAACTTGAGTAGAGTTGGTGATAAATCCTGAAAAGCAATGTAGCTTCAATCTTCAAACCACGCTACTACCGGCCGAAGCAACTTATCAACAAAACACAACAACCAGAAGATAAAAAAAAAAAACACCAAAAGACAGTCAATTGCAATACTTCAAGTTGGACCTCTAAGTTACTGCTGATGAACTTAGAAGTCCGGATTGATGTTAATTTGTGGAGCTTTTTGGCAAAAGCTCCAGCAGAACCCAAGATATGAGCATGAAGCCCATGTCGTGGACGCTTCCTTGCAAAGCTACCGTGCTACATGTTGTAAAGTATTAGTGTCTTGGTTATAAGGAGATGTTCCCATCGACGCCAAATTAAAATGAGACGCCTACCTACATGAAGAGAGAACCTTGGAGTCATTATGATTCATAGTAACAACACAACTACAACTAAGGTCATTTTTGTCACCCATTATCATCTCTTTTAAAAAACAAAAACATATGAGCCTTCAAACTCGTCTGTTAAACAGACAAGTATGGGAGTCCATATGGGAACCCATACTCATTTGTTATGTTGCAACAGACGAGTATTTGTCTATTATAATGAGCAGGCGAGTATGAGCTGTCATACTCATCTATTTTTCTTAACAATAGACAAATAACATCTTTTTTTTTTTAATTTAAATTTCATCTTTGTAGCGCATAGATTTGAATATACCCTAAAAATATGTCTTCTCTCTTCTCTATGTGCGGCAAGCTCTCTCCCTCCCTCCCTTCTTTAGATTTCTACTTCTCCTCTCTAGCACCAATACCTGTGACTAAGTTTGCCTTCTCCCTCTCTAGCTAGTAGCTCGCCATCTTCTTCTCTCTCTCTTCCTCGTTCTTCTCCCCCCTCTCTTCCCCATTCTTCATCCATGCTATTCCACAAGCAAGAGCAACGTTTTCTTCCATGAAAGTTGCTATTCTCATCCAGCTTAACCTTGTTCACAATGCAAGGCAAGTGGAATGGGTGTGTGTGTCTTTTATATTATATGAGTTTTGGATGTTGAAAGGAATTAATATAATTATTTGTGGGTGTGTATGTTTTCTATTTCAATTGATTGTTGATAAGAATTGCACTTAGGAATTATTCAAAATTAATTGGGTTAACATTTTGATAATTAAAAAACTTGCTAAACCTGTTTAAACCTTAATGCACATAAGATATTCGTGAAAATGTCTAAGAGAGCAATTTGACTAGAATATAATAGTTAATTAAGTATTTTTAATGTTTAATCTTCACTTTGAATTTTAGAAAGCTTTAAATGCTATTTAAACATATATATCTGTATAACTTTATTTTTATTACTTTGTAGGTAGATAGTGTTAAGAGAAGTGTGCTTCAAATTATATTGGAAAGGTTGAGTTAAATGTTGTAATCATCCTAATTAATATTACAAGTAAGCTTGAAATTGATTTTTTGTTTGGATACTTAGTGCTTTTTGCTTAACCAAGTTAGGATGTCATTAGATTTGTTTGTTTTAAAATTTTCTTCTGTTATATAATTAACTTATGGTGTTTAATTCTTTTTGCTTAACTAAGTTAATTAATTAAGATGTTATTTGTTTTATGTGTTTTTACTTTTAAAATTGTGGATTGTGTGGATTCTATTTATATTGAAAAAAAATGATTTGGTTGTGTTAAATTGCTGTTATTATTTGCTATAACCTGTTTTAGTTCTACTGTATGTATGATTTTATAATTGCAAGTTGAATAAAAACTAACAATATACAAATTTCTACATTTTTTAAAAATATATGTGTTTGTCTGTTTTGGTCAAAACAAATGAATATAGCTATGCATATTCGTCTTTTGTACCTAGAACGAACGAATATGCATACCACCTATTCATCTGTTTTGGTCAAACCACACAAAAATAGGCATGCATATTTATCTGTTCTTGCCCATATTCGTCTGTTCCATAACAAATAAATATATGGATGCCAATATTTTTCTGTTTTAAAATAGACGAATATATAATTACTATCTACATCTCTTCTATCAACGTCTCCCATAAAACAGATAAAAAAACGACCTTAAAAAAGATGAAAATAACATACTAACCCTGATCCTAATTATAAAAGTTAGTTGACTAATTTAAAGAGATTAAGAAAAGAAGTTAAGTTAATTATTTATAATAAATGAGTATTGTCTTTCCTAAAATATCTTTATTAATCAAATGTATTGGTTAGAATTATCATAGTTAGAAGAACTACAATGGGGAAAAAAATGCATAAATATGAGAGATAAAGTGAATTAGAATTTTATATTTAAAATCAAAATAAAAATCAAATAAGATCTCATATTAAATATTGGAAGTAGTGTTTTATTGTAGTGCGAGCTTGGTTGGCTTTGGACTGGAAAAAGAAACTTCAATTCGCAGGTGTTTCTTTCTCATGGGCAAGCCCCGCCGACACAAGCCAGCTGGTTGGAAGATATCCCAAGGGTGTGGAGCCTTTTTTTTTTTTGGTAATAGGGTGTTGAGCTTTTTGTGAGAAACTGAAACACGCAGATGTTGGGTCTGTATGGTGTCTAGCGGGGTTGGGAAAGAGCAGTTGGTACAACGTGCGCTGTCGAGCAGGGCAAAGAAATAAGGGTTAAGGTGCAATTTTAATAATAAAATTTACCCGAAAAAGCACTGGACATTATAAAGTTTATTTGGGTGTAAAAATATACATGAAATTGTCAAAAGGGAGCATCTGGCACCATGCTGTTAATATCCATCAGTTTACCGTTAGAGGGGCCCAGAAAGTCAGTTTTAAGGTGCATTTTTAACAACAAAGTTTGCATCAAGGGGTATTAGGCACCATGAAATTTACTTGGGTGTTAAAATATACATGAACTTTGTAAAAGGAAAAAAATAACAAAATTCTTCAACCTCCATAAACATCCATTAATTTTATTCTTTTTTGTCTCACCAAATGCTATATTTTCTCTCTATAAATTTCCACTTCCAAGCCGATCCATCTTTCTCTCATCATAGTCAACATGCACACTCCCTCTGTCATGTTGTTTTCTGAGCCTCCAAGCTTTTTATATGTATTTAAGCAAAACACATCTTTCCCTTCTAGGATATGAAGTTCATTACTTGCACCCGAGTACTACTCCAGTCCTTAATATAGGATCCAATGGACTAATTTGAGGAGATTAAAATAAATAAATAAATTACTTTAAATATTTTATTTATTTATTTATTTGACGTAATAGCATATAGTACATGATCTCTCTAAAATATTTATATGCATCATTAAATTATATATTAGTTTACAATCCAAGAAAATTAATTTGAAGAAAAAACAATAAATATAATATTTTAAAGTAATTTATTTATTTTTAATCTCCTTAAATTAGTCAATTGGATTCTATATTAAGGACTGGAGGTAGTACTCGGGTGCAAGTAATGAACCTCATATCCTAGAAGGGAAAGATGTGTTTTGCTTAAATACATATAAAAGGCTTGGAGGCTCAGAAAACAACATGACAGAGAGAGTGTGCGTGTTGACTATGATGAGAGAAAGATGGATCGGCTTAGAAGTGGAAATTTATAGAGAGAAAATATAGCATTTGGTGAGACCAAAAAGAATAAAATTAATGGACGTTTATGGAGGTTGAAGAATTTTGTTATTTTTTTCTTTTTACAAAGTTCATGTATATTTTTACACCCAAGTAAATTTCATGGTGCCTAATGCCCTTTGATACAAACTTTGTTGTTAAAAATGCACCTTAAAACTGACTTTCTGGGCCCCTCTAACGGTAAACTAACGGATGTTAACGGCATGGTGCCAGATGCTCCCTTTTGACAACTTCATGTATATTTTTGCACCCAAATAAACTTTATGGTGCCCAGTGCTCTTTCGGGTAAACTTTGTTGTTAAAATTGCACCTTAACCCAAGAAATAATTATAAAGAAAAGATTTTTTTAATTAAAAATTCAAAAATAGTATTTTCTAAATTTTTCATTAAAATTTTTTTTCTTTTTTTATTGTCCTAGAAAATCCAACGAACCGGCCTATTTGATAAAGTAATAAATGGATCCATTTATTTCACAATCGTATTATTTATTTGATATACTGTTGTTAATGTTAATGTTGGAAAAAAGATACAATGAAGAAAATAAATGAATTAAAATTTTAAACATTAAATTGAATAAATATTTAAATATTAATTTAATTTAATTCAAATTACAAATTACAAATTAATAATAAAAATAATAACATAATAAATACAAAATGAATGTATCTCTTTTATAGCGATATGATGGGGCCCATAGGCAAGGAAGAAGAATGCAATTTCGGCTTTTGCTTGCTTTAGCGCGGGAGGACCTACGTAAGGAATTGCAAGTTTTATTTTTTGAAGGATTAAGATTCGATTTTTTCATATAAGAATTGTAAGTACTCTGAAGTTTAAGATTCAATATCGTTTTGAAAATTCTAAAAAAAAATAAAGTCACCTTAACCATTAAAAATATTAACGTTAATGGTTGAAAAATTCATATTGATCATTCACATTTTTAAGCGGCTTTATCGATCCTTTTTAATACTTTCAGGCTAATATGGATATAAAAAAATTTCAAATACCCACAGTTCCTATGTAAAATTTTTTAAGGTAAAATTAAACAAGATGCTGATTTTGCAGAAGAAAATCTGACAGTTAAAGATGATTTATTTTGTAAACTTTTTAGTCAAGGGATACTCTTAAATAATTAACTGAACTCCAAATTAAACTCGGATGTTAAGCAGTGTTGTCAAATCAAAATGTCCGACAAACACTAGCTCTCCGTAATATTAATTAGAAACTTTAATAAAAGTGGATAAGAAAATTAGGCAACTTTTAAATATGTCGGAGTCTCTTGTAATAGGAGTAAATCATACCTAAAAATTCTCTCTTATCAAAGAGAACGAAAGGAGCGTTTTCTAAGAAATTAAGAATTGATGACAAAAACATAGTTTTTTTTTATTTCAAAATAAAAAAATTTAAATAAATAAATATAAAAAAATTATTTTACTTCCTTATGTTCTATATATAAGCTTTAAATAACTAAATTATGTTTAAGAAACTAGCAGTTAAAATTAACTCAAAATAATAAATAGTTCAAAAGTGTAATTTTCTTTTCAAATTTGTCCTTAAGAGAATAAATAAGACAAGCAATAAATAAAAAAAATAATAAAAGAGAATATATAAGAATAATATTAATGAAAGAGATGGAGTACTAAATATAGACATAGTCAATTAATGACAAAATAAAAAAATTAATAAATATTCAGACAAATTAAAAAATAAAATTTATACAAATCCCTGTCCAAAAGTAAAATTTATGTATAGGAGCGCAGGAGTATTATGCTAATTAAAAGCTAAATAATCAAAACTACATGGCGGCTCGCACTTCATAAGTCCAAACTCCAAAGGCGGTTTCGCAGCCTCCTGCTGGCAGATAAGAAACTTTATACGGATAGAGCCATACCAAGCTTCATTCTCGTCCATGGCGTCTCAAAATCCTAATAGCTCTCTGAAAATACACGAGCTCTGTAGAATAGCTCCGCCACCATCTTCACCAAAATCCTCTTTCTCTCTCACCTTCTTCGACTTGCTTTGGCTCAGATTTCATCCTGTCGAGCGTCTCTTCTTCTTCTCGGTTCCTCACTTAAACCCTTCTTCCTTCTTCGATTCCATCGTTCCAAAGCTCAAACGCTCCCTCTCTCTCACTCTGCAACACTTTCTTCCTCTCGCCGGTAGCATCGTTTGGCCCTCCGACTCGCCCAAACCCATCGTTCAATACACTCCTGGAGATGCCGTCTCTCTCACCATAGTTGTTTCTGATTCTGATTTCAACCATGTCTTAAACAAATCCCCTCGTGACGCCTCGCAATCTCGTGCTTTTGTTCCCATGTTGGATTCTTCTGATACATTTGCTTCGGCTATTTCTCTGCAAATCACTCTGTTTCCCAACGATGGATTTTGCATAGGAATCAGCGTACACCATGCTTGTTCAGATGGGAAATCATCGTCTATGTTCATGAAGGCCTGGGCTTATCTCTGTCGAACAGAAGCAGAGAACGAATCTTCTGGTTTGCTCCCTCAAGAACTACAACCATCCTTAGACAGGGAAGTTATAGTCGATCCATGTGGCATTGAAGGTGCATACATCAAAGGGTGGTCAGGTTTAGATCCAACTCAGAAGAAGCCAAGCTTGAAGATTTTGTCCGACATGTTCTCTCCGAAAGTGGAAGACTCAGCTCGAGCCACGTTCGAGCTCAAGCGTGGAGATTTAGACAAGATAAAGGAAAGGGTATTGCAGAAATGGGAAAATCACAAGGAGAAAGATGAAGGAGAAGATTCATCATTTTCAAAGCCTCAAACTTTATCAACCTTTGTGCTTACAGCTGCTTACGTATGGATCTGCTTCGCAAAAGCTAAGGAAAGGACCGAACAAAAGAAAACTAAAGTGTTCCTGGGTTTCGTAGTGGATTGCAGAACCAGGTTAGATCCTCCAATCTCTGAAAACTACTTCGGCAATTGTGTGATGTCTCATATGATAGAAACACAACCAGAAGACTTGACAGAAGATGGGGTTGTCATCGCTGCTAAGAAGATACACAGAAAGATAAGGAAAATACAGAAAGAGAAAGGAGCGCTTGATGGAGCAGAGACGTTGTTTTCTAAGTTTTCTGATTTGCTAACTGAAGAGAACCAACTTGCCGTTATAGGAGTAGCCGGGTCGACCCGATTCGGGGTTTATCAGGCGGACTTTGGGTGGGGAAGGCCTGAGAAAGTGGAGATAACTTCTGTGGATCGAGGTACGACAATGGCGATGGCAGAGAGTAAAGACGGAAATGGAGGGGTTGAAGTGGGACTGGTACTGAAGAATCAAGTGATGCATCAATTTGCTTCACTGTTTCGAACTGAGATAGAGTCTTTACAATAATTCAAACTACAGAGAAGCAGGTTATTTTGATACTGCCTGTGTTTTAATATTTTTCACAAGCTCCTAAATGTTAGGACATAAGCTGTTTTTCATGTCCATGTCACGATGTGTTTCGATTTGATTCGACTTCATGGAAAGATTTATTCCCTCCGGTTATGAATTAACTGCTGGCTCAAAAGAATTAAAAGCTGTTATATTAATTGCCAAGTTCTCCAACCCTATGTTGTGGTCTTATTCTTTATTTGTGAATAATAATATTTTAAGAATAGAACGCGTGATTGAAGAATTCGACTTTAAGAAAAAAACGATTTTTGACCAGCATGACTTTAAGAAAATTCATCTGATTGTTCTCCTTAGAAAAAATGCAAAAGGAAACAGAAAAGAAAAGAAAACCGTGCGACGTTGAGTTTATCTTCAAATCAGGCGGCAGCTTGGAATTTGTCTTAGCATCTTAACATTGAATCGGGTAGCTTTTGTTTGTAATGATAAAATGAAGTCCTTGAAATTAAAGAGCATATCTGAGACAAGTCAAATAAAATATCTCGTTGTCACTAAAATAAAATAAAATAGAATAAAATATCTCGTGAGAAACGGGTAGCATACTATTGATGAATAATATAAAGAATTCATTTTTTAGGGCGAAGGTGAAAAAAATACTCATGAACTTTCATCTAAAGTGCACCCATCACCACGATCTTTTTGGAAGTGTGAAAGTATCTATTGACTAAAAACATGGCAAAATTGACACAGATGTTAAATTTGCCTAAGAACCATTGTTTTTTGTAGAAAGGTCCACATTTTATGAAAATATAAAAATACCCCTTACTCAAAAAAAGAGATAAATGTGTAAAAATACTTACAAACTTTTAGCAAAAATGCGCCAAACATCGTATGTTTTTTTTAGCTGCAAAACTGCCCATAACCGTACAAATAAATTAATTAGTTCAATTTTAACAAGAAAACCTATTAAATTTCATTATAATATTATAATACTAATAATTTTATGGTTAATACATACATTTAGTCTTCTAAATTTGCATAAATTTTTAATTTAGGCTCCTCGATTTATAAAATGTATTTTTTGTCTCAATTTTAATATTGTTTGTCTCCTTAACGAAAAATAGTGACTCGATGACTTTAAATGCTAACAAAACATGCTTAAGGTTTAATCATTTAATATAATAATTTTGTACATTCAAAGATTGGTTGTTAATGTTAAAATCAGCTTCATCCAATTTTTTTAAATATATGAATTAAAGATTAATATTTGAATTTTTAATTATAGAGTTACCATTCAAATTCGTTGAATCAACATTTTTTGTTAATGAGACTTGCAGTATGAACATTAAGGTACTGAGAATACGTTTTATAAACTTAAAGAACTAAATGAAAATTTGATGCAAATTTAGAAGACTAAACGTACGTTTTAACAATAAAATTATTAGTATTATAATAGTATAATAAAATTTAACAGATTTTTTCTGCCAAAACTTAAAGAATTAATTTATTTGCATGGTCATGTGTACTTTTGTACCTATGGAAAAAAAAATGGTGTTTGACACACTTTGACTAAAAGTTTATGAGTATTTTTGCCCCTTCCACTTTTTTGATTCTTTCAAATTTGAAGTTAGGGGTATTTTCATATTTTCATCAAATTAACATGGGCCTCACTATAAAAAATAACGGCCATTAGTAATTGAGCTATTTTAACAAGTTCATGAGTACTTTAGCAATAGTGGTTTTGAGTCTTTCTCGAATTACTTTTCCATCATCTCCCACGATAGTTCTAGACTCACGTTGTAAAAGAAATGTCTTACAACTAATGGACTATAGGGAGTATTAACTTTCAACCATTTTTCATAATGTCCAAAGTAGTCATTAAAATCCAATTCAAGAAAATCTTTCTGATGGACTACTGGACAGAATGAGCGATGAACATATAGTGAATCATACTTAGCTTGATCCGTTCCTTTGCTGGAAGGCTCTTGAAGAAAGTTCTTCGGTGGGATGAACTGTTTCTTGATTTTCCTTGATTCTCTCATTTTTCTCGTCTTCTTAATTGATTGTTCTTCTTCAGCTATTGAATCTTGTCTTGCGGCTTCTTCAGAGATTCTCAAATAAGAATCTGTCTCTGCTTTGATGACTTTAAAGGAGATGTTGTAGAAGTTTCCACGCTTTTCCTTTTCTCAAATTTAGAGGATTGGCATATCATTCGTAAGCTTTCAAGATTTCTCCTTTGTTTCTTTTGTCATTTGGCATTATGAATTTTAATCGAGTTGATTAATGTTCCTCACAATCCAATATATTCCAAGTTACTGCACAGTCAGGGTTATCAGTAGAAGAATTGATTTGTTGAGCTTTTTCTCTTAGGCCGAACAACGATTTGCTTACTTTGGTCAACATCCTTACATCAGCTTCTTAACTCCAATCCTAAATATTAAATGGACTAGGAAGGTAAAGGTTGTTTCTAGGAGAACAGTTTTTTGTATTTGATATTCTATCACTCATTCACCTCACACTATCTCATTTAGATAAATCTGAAAAATACAAAGATTAAGATTCTACATTTATAAAACCAAAAATAAATAAATAATTGTTCATTTGCTTGCATCTTTAATTTGTTAACTTGTTAATTAGTAGATTAGTTAAGAAATTTTAACCACAAAAAGGCTCCTTGTGAATTCAACCAAGGCTAAGCTATGATATTACATTTTAGCTTAATTTTAATTTTTTTAAAAACTACTGCAGAAAACAACTTTAAGCTAGTTAAAAAGAGCGTTTATGATGGTTTTTAAGGTGAAGTGAATACTATCAATGTTAAAAGAAAAATATTTCACGGATTAACTTTTCATAGTGGTTTTATAGAAATAAACACTGTGAAAAGTCCTTAGTAAATATAAATAACTTATATTTACTTTTTTATTTTATTAGTACCGTATTCAAACCGAAAGTGTTAAATATGGATATTATGTGATCCCTTATATGAATGACATCATTAAGACAATGGTTACTAAGAAGTTAGGAGAGGTAAATATAAGTTACATTGTAATTCTTCTTCTTTTTTCATATTTTTGATCCAGTTGACTAATGACTTTGTTATTTTTAATTTACAGGCATTTCGAGATACTGTGTCATATGATTTCGAAGAAATCAACTCAATAAAAGATACTTTGTCAGCAATATTGCTTAAGAATTTTGAAAATGTGAATGATTAATTCACCTTTCATTATTTATTAGGTTTAGTTGAAATATTGATTGATTAAGTTGTTGATTATTAGATGTAGTTGATTGATTAAGGATTGGGAACATTAGTTATGTTAGTATTAGATTTGAGTTTAAGCCTTAAAATGATTTTGCATTCTTCTGTGCTGGCTGAAATTGGTTTGTAATTGATTTGGTATTTCAAGGAGGTTGTATAGAAAATTGAAATGAATTATTTAATCTTTGAAATGCTTCTCTTTTAACATCAATAATATCCACTTCACCTCAAAAACTATCGTGAAACTCTCTTTTTAATTGGTGCTAAAGTTATTTTCTGCAATAGTGTTAAAAGAAATTTAAAAAAAGCTTTTCATGGAGGTTAAATAAATAACTAATGTGAAGATGACAATACAATATGTAATAACGAAACTACTATACTTTTAAATTAATCAATATTGAAAAGTTAATCATGATAAGAAAGAAACTTTGTAAAACATTTAAAAATACTATCATATTATATAAGCATCCTAAATCACATAAAATTAACCGTGATAGAAAAGAGTTAAACCAATCCATAAATATGTCTATCATGGTTAAAAGAGCTTTTCTAAATTAACTGCATGCAAATCAAGATTCCCAATGAATAGGGCTTTAGGCATTATGAACCTAGAATGTCATTTTCAACCATAATGTCATAAGATGATATTACTGAATAATACCTTTATAACTTTCTAAAATCAAAAGTCATCAAGTGTTAAAGATCATTGTGGATCCACAACTCATATAAAAAATCACGTGTAAATACCTAGAGGCTTTCGGCTTTCTACCAGCATGCAATTTAGTAAAAGTTATCAAGAGTACACAGTCAAATTAATGAGTCTCAAAACAGATCAGAGTATGTAGAATGTGCCCTATTATGACAATATAATCAAAAGGGTGGAAGCACTATAATTTTGCAGTAGTAGCTCAAACTTCTGGAGCCTTCCCTGATGAACCCGAATGGGACTATCACCTGAAAAAGTGTTAAATCAAAGGGGTGAGACAAAATCCTCAATAACCAACAATCCTACTTATCAAGCATACAAAAGTGTTCATGAGGTGTCAAGTGAGATAATAGTAAATTCATAGTATTCAAACAAATTTCATATTGTCAAAGCATATAACAAAGTAAAATCAATAATCCTCTCACCTCCCTTATATCCACCCACCTTATATCCTCTGACGGAACCCATGGGCTAAATTCTCATCCATATGATTGGTAATTAGACAAGCTCACCGTTCAAGTGATATGGACCAGCTAAAATCCATAGAGCACAAGACCAGATCATAGGTTCCTCCTCTAGTCTACTAGTAGGGTTTCAATGCCCTTTAATGAATAATTAGGCCAAAGGACCAATCAATGTACACTTGATGGCCCTACCACCTTATATCCTTAAATGTACATGATTCACCCCCTTATATCCTCTTTGGTATAATTCCCATCATCAACATCCGCCACCCCTTGCATATCAATACTCAAAATATTATATTCATAATAAATCATCAACATGTCAAACTCAATTCGAATTTTCAATTCCCAATTAATTTATAAACACGTGCGATCATCATATCCGTAAACAAATATATATTTTATAAAGGAAGTCCCATAAGACAATTTTGATAACAACATAGTTTCATAACTCATATAATAATTCAATAATATTTCATAAATCCCATATAATTCAAAATCAATCACAAACAATCTACAAGCATGAATAACAAGTGGAAAGTGTTACTTCTTGCCCACTAGGAAAAGGATTTTCTTAAGGTTAACTCTGTGCTCAAACCAACAATCCAATAATTTAATCTACACAATCAATATATTTACATATCAATGCATAAGCTATTTAATCAATTACTTGAGCTAATATATATTTATATAAGTTAAAATTTCTAATTCTATGCTAAAAGCCCATATCTCTCATACCCCATAATTAAATCTTTTAGCACAAAACTATAATATCCTAACAATGCAT